CATTCGCGTTTATTGAATTTGTCGAGCACGTTAAATTAGCTCCGTTAATTAATTGGAACGACGAAGGAATAAAATTTGCAATAACACTGAACGCGATAATTCCCTCCAGGCTCGAAAAACAATACGGGAGACATAAAGTATCACAGTCGCGATCGCCTAACTATTTAGAGATACGAAATTAAGTCAAAAGGGACTTCGTTACGGTTATTAATATAATATTCGGTTATCTATAACGATAAATAATCATTTACGGCGTTAACTGCGACCAATTGCGAATGCGCGTAATTTTCTCTTTGTAATTTCCACCGAATTCATTATACATTCTCGTTTCATCGCGCGGAATTATCTACAAGTCATTTTGAATCAACAGAGAAGTAATTATTAAACTTCGTTCAGCGCCTGTCGGGGCGAAATCCATTAACACGGAATTCATTTCAAAATTACAGCGAAACGTTTGCGATCGGAGACTGTCTGGGGTCAAAATTATGGCCGTTTTAAAATAAGAAGTAAAGGAACTGTGTTCAGAGTTGCTTTAAAATACGAAGCAAGCGGGTTCGGCGCGAATAGTTTACCTTTGAATTCGTTGCAATTAAAATAAGAAATTGTCAAGGAAATTATGTTCGAATGCAGAGTTCATAATTAAATGTGGAACTCTCGGCTGCGGAATGAATTTATTTCAGTCGGAGTGCACGGAGCCTGAAACGTATACCAAATAATGAAAGCAAATAATTTCGAGTAACTACGTAACGTTCGTACGTGACAACATTAGCATTCAAAAATTTCTAATTAGCATTCCTGCGTTACACCGTAGAACCGCTTCCATTATCAAATTTCTATCCAGATATAGGACGTAGCTAAAACGATCCAAAGTAAATGTTTCCCGTCCGCTTTATAATCTCGACGGAGAACTTAATTGCAAATGTTTCTGACGCTGAACATATTTGTTTACCCCGCGTGCTCGAAAGTTACAAAATTGTCTCCGTTCCATCCCTGGCGGAAATAATATTATACAAACTGCGATTAGAGATGTAAATTCTAACGTTTGTAATTGGGAATTTAAATTAAATTTCGTTCTGGAAATAGTTGCAGAAATATTCGTGAAAGAATAAAAATTTTTAAATATTTCTATGCGTGTCTATGTCTCTTCGTAAATTTAATAATGGATTATCTTTACCGGTGTATTTTCGAATACATTTGTTTCGCGATAAGAGACCTGGCACTTAAGTAAATGCAACGTATAGAACTGAGACATCGATTGAAATAAATTGAAAGAATAATACGATAATGAATATGTTAAAACAGAAAAGGTTTTATATATTTAATATCGTGTGTAATTTGTAATGGGAATACCTCAGAATTCTCGATTCGTCCCGATCGAAATGAATTTTGCGACTAAATGATGTCACGTGCAAAAAAAAAAGAAGCTGAAGCAGGATGTAAGAGAGGAGCGTTCACTTGAAATCTCGCAGAGGCGTTCGCTCGGTGGCTCTTTGAGCTACGTTAATGCGCGGATAAGTAAATAAATGAACAAGCGACGAAAGGAAGAAGAAAAAAAGTGGAAATGGTTGAAGGGTACAACCGGTTTAATTAAAAGCGTGTAATTAATCGTAATTAATGCTAGTAGTTCTCTTTTCGAGGTGGCATGACGTTTCGCGAGACACGGCTCAATGGGTAAACGAATTAACGCCAACGACGAGAATAAAGATGACGAGCTGTCGCTGGAAACGGCTGCTATACAAGACACTCCGGCTTGTTTGTTTTTATATTAAACGTTAACTTAATATTACGTGTTAAATTAACGAAGTCAAACGGTTCGCGTTCTAAATTTTTTTCTTCCCGTTTCACTCGCGACACGGTAGATGGGATATAATTTCGTGCCGTTTCCAGACAGATCTGCAGAGTAACAGGATCCGTTTTTGTCCGAGTGATAACTCGTTTCTCGAAGCGTGTCGGCTACTATTCCGACGAAAAATGGGATGTGTTCAAATTATGGAAAGTGGTCGGATCACTTTCCAATTCGATCGACTACCAAAAGCTGTCGATTTAGCTTCGCGTTTAATCCCTCAGGCGCGACGGGTCTCTCGAGTTACTAGTTGTTGATATTTAAGTGAATTTTAATAGAGTTACGTCACAGAGAATATAGAAAATACGATTTCTATAGTCTCTATTTTCTATAGTTTCTATTTTGTGTGTTTCTTTCTGTTTTCAGATTTTATATAAAATGGAGTTGTATCGTAGTCGAAGTAATATTATTGGATTAAATAATAAACGTTAAGTTACTTACGGTTGATGGTTTGTTCAGTGGCTGAAAACGGTACATACCTGAAGAGAGAAAACTGTGACATAAAGATTCGTAATAATTAATAATAAAAATTAATAAGGAAACAAATATTTGGGATGGTCATAAATAGAATTTGAGAAACAATAATAATGTTTTTGATGTCTCGTCGTGTAATTTACTAATGTTGGTACTCAGGAAGATAATAGAAATGTGTTGCCATTTATCAGGATCTACTCAAGATGTAAAAATAGATCAGAAAAGTCCTTTACCATTTTTAAATATGACGCTTCTTTGCCTAGATACAAGCAATTAAAGTTCATTCATGTGATATCTTGGTGCACGCTATCGTATATTCGCAGCTGCGCATGCGTGCAACAACTGACCAGTCGTTCGCACGCGCGCAAACTTCAACTGCATATATTTCAATAACGAAACCTCGAACTGCAAAACGGCACAGAACTTTTTGATTCATAATAATGGACCGGATACAAGGCCTTCGAAAGCATTTCTTCGACTCCAAAGGGGTCACGGAAAACTTCTTATTTTCGTTGAAGTGTCTTACTACTTTGTTACGGTCTACGTCATTTGTGAGCAAGGAAATACGAACTCCAATGTTACAAGCGTGACGCAATGCCTGATGAACTCTAATTGTATCGCTCTACAAAGAGAAGAGCATCCTAACCGGAAGCAGATCCGATCAGTTCGAAGGCAGTCGCGGTTCTGAGCGTCGGATGTAAGGGTGCGTCCGCCTACCGCTTCCTTTCCTTCTTCCCACCATACCGCGGGCGAAGGGAACCCTGGCGACGGGCCACGAGGTCTCTCTCGTGGCAAAAACAAAAGTCGACGAACGTACGATACGTTCTGCTTCAAGTGTCGGGAATACTAGCGGCGGCGTGCCAATGGAAACCGTCAGTTTCCGCGTGGACTTCGGCACGTCGAGTACGCCGGCACCGTGTGTCCTCTTTCGTTTACGCGGCTCTCGACGGTCTCGTCGGTGGTTCGGCTGAGTGTGCATCGAATTCTGCTCCCGTGGATCCCGGGAAAATGCGCTCCACGAGAGTCCACGTGTGCCTCGTTTGCGTGCTGCTTAGCGTTCTGGGTGAGTAAGCGCGTGAATATTTCTTGAGGGAAACTCAGCGACGAGGATTTATTGGAAAGGTGTTGTCAAGTGTTTGTAAGAGTTAGAGTTCGTTAGGCGTTCGAGACAGGTAGAGGAAGAGGTAAATCACAGGAAACTTGCTTGGATCGAGTGGAATGTGGTGTGATTTCAACAGTGTATTGGTTGGAGGAGGTGCAAAGCTCGAGAAATGATATTTGTTTACGTGCTTTCTGGTTGAGCTTTTAAAACGGATGCAGCGACCTTGGCTGGAGGTCAGTCTAGGTCACTAAAGGGCAACTACGATAGGGAATAGTTCTTAATTGCAAACCACGTATCGGATATTTGTTTACATGAGGAAACACACGAAGTATTCTCCATCGACAACTTGGAGAACAAGAAATTGTAATACACGCCAGCAATACATATAAGTTTGAAGTACATAACGCAAGGAACATTAGAATGAGAATTATCTTTCACAGAACAACGAAGTGCGTAAGTATTAACAATGTAACTCGTACATTTGCCCCTACATCAGCAGACGAGTGAAACTCGCCTCTTCTTATCGAAATGAATAAGGCATAGCGCGCTCACCGCGACGTGGCGCATCGCGGCGCCTCATTATCCTAATGGAGACATCGCGTCGTTAACGCGAACCGCTCGAGCGGGCTTCTAGGAGGCGAGAAGCCAATTTAAAAAAAAAAAGAAAAAAAAGTCCGGGAAGCGGTGCAGGTGTAAACCGATCGAGAGCACGTGGCTACGAATGCGAAACGCACCACTCCAAATGGCGCTAAACGTGGTCCCAGGACGGTGTAAACGCGTATTCCCTGGCACGTGCCGCTATGATCCCGTGGGAATCGACGCGGACTGGTTAAGTGCGACCGCTATTTCCGTACGAAAGTACAGTGCGAAAATTGCGGTGCAACAGGATGGTCCAGCGTTCGCAAATAGCAGGGGGAAGAGTGCTACGCGTGCATCGTTTTTTTTTTTGTTTTTTGTTTTCTTTAAAGCAACGAAATGGAAAAACTTTCCATACTGAGCAGAAACGGGGGAAAAATCGTCGCCTGGATGCAAAATTCGAGTAAAAATCACGCGTTTAAAATTAAATGAAACGTAGAATAGAATATTTTTTAATGAGAAAATGGCGATTCAAAGAAACTTCAACACGTTGATTGGCAAGACTGATTCACACCTTTCTTCTAGCATCTTTATTCCTACTTACTAATGAAAATTGTAACAACATTCTACAAGCGATGAAGACGCTACTTAAAATTTTGTAATATAATCGAGTTCCGATAGATTCAAATTTTTTTTGTTTGCGTTTCCGGCGTTATGCATCGATACATATTCAGCGCATGAAAAATACAAAGCTTGAAACTCGGTTTCCTGGCGAAACTTCGCGCAGTAGCGAATTTTCGTCATTATTATTTATGGCGAGCACTATGTGCGAAATTTTAGACGAATCGGTGACGAAACAGACGCGAGTGACGCGACTGACACATTTACATATCGAAGTTACTCCAACAAATTCCATACAATGTAATTCTTGAAACGCATATATGATCAATGCTATTAAAAAACGTATAAACAAAATCTAGTTTGCTACTGCCCCGACTTCTTGGGTTAAATCATTTTTTAAATTTGCTCTAAATGGTACACGAACGACTGATAGGTACTGACTCGAAGAAAATGGATTTTCAATCTTGGAAAATTCCGCTAATGCCGTCAGACTTGGCTCTTGGGTTCAGTACGAAGGATGAAGTATGAAGGAAAAGTCCTACGATAACCTACCTCGATATTACTTAAGGAAAATTTCTTTGGACTGCTTCTTGACGCTTCCACTCTTACAGTAAATAAAATTACAGTAGAAACTTGAATTTTGTCGCGTTCTGACTAGATAGGGAGCAGATGCGAAATTATAGGATCCTCCGTAAGAATTCCAGGAGCGAATATTTTACCGTAGCGACCTCCGCAACGAAACATTCGGTACACAGAAGTGTCCAGAGGTGCACGGGGCACGGAATTAACGTCGTTACGTTTTACTACCGCCTCGTCTGCAGAAACTGATTCGTTGTAAGGAGAAAAACGAGCGGGGACAGCACGTAACACGGCGAAACACCGTCGCACGGCGTTTCACGATCGCCAGGGAGGGAGGAAATCGTTTCTACAGGAAATAGGGGCGCAAACCGTGGCCGGAGGACGGGGGTCTGGCGCAGGAGGGAGGCAAATAGAGCTTTTCGAAGACCTTTGTCAGCGTTTAGTACTCAGACGACCGTAAGAATTTTGCGCTCCCGTCGCGCGTTGCGCCCCGCACGGTTTAATGACTATGCACATGTTTTTCACGTAAATTGCCTGCGCCCTGAACGTTCGTCGACGTCAACTCGTCTGGAGCGTTGCTCGCGCACTCCAAAATAGTTGCATGCAAGATTATTGGAGCTACGAGCGACTCGTGGGAAAACGCGGTATGTATAATACTTTGTTTTTCTTTAATTTATGCTGCTCGACGTGGAAAGATGTATAATTCGAAGGGTAATCTGTGCAGGCGATTAGATTGGGCTACGCGTCAGATCTTTTGTATACCGATGGAAGCAATCTAGAAGACGGTTGCAATCATTTACTTTCTGCGTTCGAACTTTACGCAATAACTTAGTATTTCTTTATTGTCAGCAATGATAATAATTTAAAACGATTTAAATATAACAGAAATTGTATTCTTCGAAGTTTCGAGAACATCTGGTGAGTTTAACCTCTTGCCCTACGATTTATTGTGGAACCATGGGTCCCATAGTCAGGTATAAAGTCTCTTGTGCACGTTCATACGACGTGTCTGACTCGTGCTTTTCATGTTCGACTCAAATTTCTTATCACGTATCTCACACGTTGTTATAGGCTCTTCATTTTTAATGTTACGCAGCTGGCCACGATTTGATCTATCTGATGCTCTAACGTTACAATCGAAACTATTTATTTCTACGTCATCAAAGAAATACGTTTCGCGTCGTGAAAGTACCTCGAACAAATACCAAAAATCTCAAATCGAAATCTCGTAGCCCGCTCGATAAATTCTCGCCTACTTACGTTTGTATCTAGAGAAAATCGACCTCCCCTTGGAACAGCGAGTGCCTCGAATGATCGGACCGCGTTCCCGTCTCGATATCGACTGGAACGAATCGCGCGTGTTTCGAAATTCGCGAAACCCTGGGAAAAATTCCGCGGGAAAATTTGCCGTCGAGCCGCGGCGTCCTCTAATTTGCATCTACTTGCGGACTTAATGATCGGAGACGCGCGTTGTTTGTACGGATTCGTAGTACCTGTGGGGCCGGCGCGTAATGAAATTCGAGAGGAAAATCAGCGTGAACAGGCGGCGGCGCGCGCGCGCGTACGCGGAGTCGAGAGGCCGACGTTTCGAACGTGACGTGGCGAGTCCCATCATTTTATGCAAATAAAAGCGAAGAACGCTTGATTTCCCTTGGTGTTCACAGCCGACGACGACGACGACGTCGACGTCGTTCGGTTGCACGCCAGATGTTGACCGGAAACACGACCGTGTTCGACTGCCATTCGGATTATCCGCTTAATGGGAAGAGGATACACGGAACTCGCGCCCCTCCTCGTTGCAAAAAAATGCTTGGAAATTGCGGGACCAACTTTATTTCGCGCTCCCTTTTTTTTTTAGGGGAGATATACTGGTGCACCGTTGTTCCAGATTATTTTTTTAAAAATTAGATTCGAACGTTGAATTTGTGAGGGAAGAATTATTTACGAAGTTGGCATTCGGAAACAAATTACGAACAAGAAATAGAAGGTGAGGTGTTAATTTGTCGACGTGGTTCAATAAGAATTAGAATTTTAGATATAAAGTGAAATGACTAAGTATCTAAGTATTGAATCGAATAAATTGATCCATTCGTTTATCCCTAATTTTTACCAATTTCTATTTTGGGACACGCAGGGCAAAATTCGGAAGTCATCAAATCTAACTCTCCTATACCAGAAGAAAATTTGTATGGACCTCTGTTCGTTTACTCCTGTCGTTACACGTTATGGCAGGTTGCGATCATCCCACCGATTTTCAGTGCCACGAATACAGTATCGTGTTCCAAATCTCGCGTAACTTCGCTCCACCCACACAGAATGTACGTAAAGGCGTAATTTAAATGCAAAGAGTCAGGTAGTGCAGTCGTCTGCAGTTCGTAGTAGTCAATGGCAATAACGCTAGAGTAACGCAAGACTGTGTAGATTACGTAACACTCAGGCTCAGATTTGCAGACTTCAGTGTTACAAGTTATACGACCATGTGCAATCATTTTTTAAGGATCTATATAGACATTAGAGCTACATAGACCTTTTCCTGGAAAATAACTAAGGGAAACTTTAGTCGATCAAGACTTCGTGGAGGCTATGAAACAGGTCCTCTTTATCCATCAATCTTTCTGTGGGTCAAACAGACTGTTTAAATGTCGACGACGTGCTCTTGTCGTCATCTATCACCGGTTACCGCTGACGCAGTTTTACTTTTATAAAGTACTTCGCTACCACTTGAACATTCTGATGCAGAAAACTTTTAAAATACCTTCGTAGGTGCACACATGTGTTTTCTTGGTATATGTTTCTGATTCTTGTAAAGCAAGTTATTATCACTTAGTCGATGAACATCTTCATCGACGCGCATATAGAAATATATACATGATGACATGCAGGAATCGTCATTGAAATTGCTCCGTCATAAATGATACACTAATGGTGGATAAATGGTTTCATCGCAAATCATGTTTTTTTGAAAGTAAATCTCAGGTGGCTACTCTCCATGCAAACTGTGTCATTTCTAGAACGATGCCCAATAATACTGCTAACCTCGTTTATATCTGCGGACGAATAAATGAATTAATAAAAATATTTATGGAGAAACAGAACGTGCCACGAATCATACAACAAGCAACAACGTTCCAAGCCGTGAGACAGATTTGCTCCGTTTCTAAAAGTCATTAACGGAGCCATCCATCACAGTCTAAAAATGTCCAGAATCACAGATGAAATTATAAGATTTAGCAACCGCTATCGTACATCAGAATCATCTTGCTTCAAGCTTGTTGCACCTCACAAATGCATACACAAGTCTGAAAAGGCTTTGACCACCATTCCTATGCTATTAACCTGTTAACTGAATGATTAAAAGCAACTAGAGACGAATTAATCTGCTCTGCTTACAGCAAACACGAGCCTGACGTAATTTATTCCATGACGCACTGCTTTCACCGTAGAAATAAAAAGTGGACGTTCACTCTTTCTCTGTTGTAAACGAGTAGCTGGAAATTCAATGCTCGCAAGGAACAAAATAAATCTCCTTCGAATTAAATCTTCGATTCCATGTTAGTCTCGGGGTCGCCACGATTAAATTGCAAGACGAACTTATCGATACCAGTGTAACTATTAAATTATAAGAATAAATTCTCGAGTTTTCCCAGGATACTTGCAAGGGGAGACGAAAAGAAAAAGCTTCGAGTTTTTTTTTTTGAAACCGAGATTGCATGGCAAAGTTGAATCGAGGACCTGGCGTGCGCGGAATAGTCGAAGAAAAATCTGGGAAGCCCTACTCCGAATTCAAATCTCTGGAAGAGGAGGCAGTAACAAAGTAAACGGCGGGTCCGAGCCCGTCGATCCGAAAATCATCCAAGTGGTCGCTCTCGTCGGGCGACGTATCAGTCCTCGACGATTGGACGAATAATTGCGTCCGAAGTGGCGCGTTTCAGCGTAAAAATCTCGGGGTAGAGAGCTCGGCCAGCCCAGAGAGAATACATTTTGCTGGGATACGAATCGATTGATCGAACTCGCGTGAATACTCGTAGACACCGAGCCGGGGAACTCGGAGGAAACAAAAACGGGGATAAAAAGTAAGGGGAACGGGCGCGTACGATATTCGCGACGCTTACCTTGGCCTCAAACTAGGACCACTGTTCTATTTCTCAATCTAGAAACGTGGCGCACAGTAAAACTTAGAATGATAAAGGAACCTTAATAATATTAATTCAACTAAGGGAACGTTTAACTTCCTTGTGCAAAAACAAATCGAAAAGTTCTGTACCATTTCCTAATCCGAAGCTCCCTTACCGAGATATAAGCAGTTAAAGCTCGCAGGAATATTTCGCGGAGCACGCTAGGTGAATCCCAGAGTCAGCTGATCGCGTCTGCGGACCCTGTAACTGCTTATATCTCGATAGCAAAGCTTCAAATTAAAAAATGGTAAAGGACTTTTCGATTCGTATTGATGTAAAAAAATTAATCCACAAAAAATATCAGATTCTATTACTACTTTTCTCTCACGCACACTCCCAAGAGACCCAATACAGGGAGAACCGCGCGATAACGCCCCTTCAACGCGGCTGTGCAGGGACGTTTGAGAAAATCGAGAGCTTTATGAGCAGGATTACAAACGGCGGCGAGTGAATTGAAACGGCAATAAAGAGTAACGATCAATAGCGTTCCGTTCAAACGACGAGGCGGGATAGAAACAACGAGGACCCGTTACCGCTCGTGTCTAATAAATATTTTCGAATAAATGACGGGTCGGGATTGGCGTTACTTGAATTTCGTTATTATCGATGCGATCATTGTCGACGCGGGCGCCGAATCGCGGTGAAAACGAATCATCTTCATTGTCCGTCACGGCTGCCAGGACACGACAAAACAGACGCTGACGCGTAATAGGAAAGACACAGGCGGATGATGGAACGGTATTGATTCCCGTGAATTATATTTGCAGCGATAACAATCCCGCCACTCGCTCGTTCAATCTAAAATAGATGCTCCCATCTGTTTGGGTGTTTTTTTCTTTCGCCCTTGCACGGGGAAAATGAAGAGGATGGAACAGATTTACTTGGTCGAAAACGTGGACGCTTGCTCGCGAATCTCGTTCCACGGGCTACGCGTTCAGACGATGGGACCGCGGAGATAGAGCTGGAGAGAGATGAGGTCACACGGTTGGCCACAGTTGTTGATCGTTTTATCGAAATCGCCGTGGTAAGAGAAATCCAAATACCGAGGAGGACATTTTTCCCTATTCCGCGTAATTAAGCTATCACTCTGAGCTAGGTTATTCTTATTTCCCGTTTGTTACAGTTCGTGTCTCGTAGCTGACTATTTCCAGTACCCGGTACGTATAGGGGCACTAGAATTATCGATTATGTTGGACGAAGAGGGACAGGCTTTATATGAATAAAAGGCACGAGCCGCCATAGATATTATTTTATTTTCGTATTTCAAATATCCTCACTCGTTTGTACAGTCGACGAAAAAGAACGAAGCAATACATTTAGCGCCGAAAGGTGCGCATAACCGAACACGAGGAGGCAAACAGAAAAGAATATCCGTACAATTAATGACTGCGTTCAGCAGGAAAAACTAGAATTTTTTAATTCCTCGACTTCGAGAAAATTATTCGCTGTAAAATCAACCACTGTTCAGC